CCTTGACATATTTTTAAGATATATTCATATCAATTAATTTTATTATAAGAAAATGCATCGAGAGAGAGAGAGAGAGAGAGAGAGAGAGAGATTTGCTTTTGAAATATGATGTAAAAATACATTTCTGTATTTACTTATAATTATATGTATTTTTAAAATGCTTTGAGAAATCTCTCTCTCTCTCTCTCTCTCTCTCTCTCGATGCATTTTCTTATAATAAAATTAATTGATATGAATATATCTTAAAAATATGTCAAGGTCCATTCGATAACATACAACTATATAATATGAACAGTCATTTATTTGTATAATCTCTTACATCCCAATCGCCGATAGCCATAAAGCTAAAAAAATTGCGCAAATTGTATCATCATAGATCTTTATTGCAAATAAATTGGGCACATTTGTGGTTAAAACTTAACTATTTAGATAGCTATAAATGAAAACAAAAGTTTTAATTTATTTCATAAAACAAAATAAAAATTTTAATTTTAATACTATTACAAATATCAAAATAAATATTTAATTGATTATTTGATTTATTTAATTATCATTAAAAAACGATAAAATAATTTTAAACACTTATTTTTATACTAATTAAAATTAAAAAAATTTGTTTATTTAAATAATTAAACAATTATGCTGTAAATTGCAGCAGATAAATAAATATTCAGCTAACAAATTAATCGAGCTTGGTCTTATCACCACTACGAGCCAAACGCCATTTATTAAGCTGATATACGGCCACCAAAGCGCACATGAGCTCAGCCACGATAAACACGGCCCGAAAACCATAGGCGCCGGCAAACATACTGACAGGTAGGCCATTGAGTACACTGACAGCTACGCAACAAAACAAAACAACCATAATGATTAAATACGATTAAACAAATTATACTACAGTATACTGAGCATACATATGATGGTAAACTGCATAATAGATTGGCACAGGCCTGAATTGTCCGGGTCAACCTCCATCACCGACAAGGACACCGCCAGCATAATACCCGAATGTGCGACACCAGCGCCAATGGCTACCAGTGCCACAAACATGGTACTTGACCCAGCACTAATCTGGGTGCTATACAAATGCATTATTAGGGTAAGCAACGTGGTAAGTCCGATAATAATTGGTAGCCTGGCCACAATCATTTGATAGGGTAACCGCTTGTCACTGCTATCTCGCAGCTGCCGGACCACCAGCCGGTCGAGTGCCGGCGCTATAGCTATCCGGCCAACCACTGCCCCGACATTCATAACGCTCTGAAACATGCCGGCCGTGTAAGTGTCCATGTTAAGCTCCTCGGTGAAATACAGTGTACCCCATACGCCGATCACCATGGTGGTCATCATGTTGACACACTGGCTCATTACGCACAGCCACAGCATGCGGTTCATGGCTAGACGTTTTAGTGAATGCCATTTTGATGAGTTAGCTTGGTCAGTTTTCTTGCCAGCGCCAGTGGGTCGACTATAACCGCTGGGTAATAATAGGTGACAAACCAGCCCGATCATAATTAATAAGCCAGCATATATGATCATGCCCAGTCGCCACGATGGGTAGAGTTGCAAAATGACCGTGTTCAGTATGGGATTGACTATGCCCGCCACGTTCATCGAGGTCATAATCACCGACATGGTGGTGGCCAGTAGGGTGGGGTCGGCAATTTGTTTGACCAGTTTGGGCATTAGGCCCAGGCAACATGCTAGGCCGATTCCGTGCACCGACCATGCACAAACGAATTGGCTATAAGTGCTAGATTGCGAGAATGCCAGCCCCGACACACCGCCCAATAGAGTGCCGAGTGTTAGCACGTATTTGACGGGCAACCAGTCGGCTAGTATGCCAGCCGGGAATATCATCAAAGCGCTGGTAATGCTATTAATGCTGTTGATTGTACCTTAATAGTTTTTTGTAAATAAGTTAATTGTTTATATACAAATTGTACTATAAGTATTAGCGTACAAATTGAGTGATATTAATTAACCATCGTAAATAAATACAGTATTAATTAATAATAATATATTTGACAATTTACTAAATGAATTAATTTTAAACAAATTAATTGATCATGCTTACAAGTGGAAATCTTTATTTTTAGTTATAATAGATATACACAATACTTTTAATTTACCTATGTTCGTTTTAGTGAGACCTTCACTAATTAATTGAGGTACCATTAAGTTTACGCTCATTTTATTTGTAATAATAAGGTATTGGGCCATAAATAACAATACAATTAATTTGTTCATGTTTATTTTTGGATTTAGGTCTTGATTAATATAAACACGATAATAAAACTATATTTTAGTTGTTATGTAAACACAATAATTTTTAGTATAATAATTTCATCAAAATAAAATATTATTTTAAAACAATTATTAACTAAATAACAATATTGGTTATAAATTACAAGTCATTTGATGATGATGTCTACATTTATATTAATTATAATGTCATAATGCAATAATAACAATATATCAGCTACTTAGATATTTAAATAAATGACCAGGTTTAAAATTATAATACGAAATTATTTAATAATTAATAAATATATTAAATTTACCAATATCTTGTTTAGTTAGGCCGTCATTAATGAGTTGTGGCACTATTAAGTTTAAACTATGTTTATTTGTTACAATAAGGTACTGGGCCACAAATAGTAATAAGATTAACTTATTCATGTTTAATTTAATTTAATTTTGATTAGTATAATCACAAAAAATAGATATTTACTTAAAATGACTAAAACACAATAGGATTTAATATTTATAATATAATTTTTTAAATGATAATTATTAAATATTATGTAATATTACATACATATGAGCAAGTCATTTGATGATTTAATATAAATTAAGTCCATATTAATTAATATGGATTTTAACTTTATTAATCTAGCTTTATAAAATTGTAATATTATATATTAAAAATGTATTATAAAGTTAACATTTTATTAATTATATTATTTATTAATGATTATACAAATGTAGTTACATCCCCGTCTTTAAATTAATTTGACATTAGTAATTATAAAACTGAATGAGTTGCTCATAGTTACAGCCTGCAACACGTTAAATTTAAAATCAACCAACTAGATTTATAACATTTTAAATGTAGTTAAAAATTAATAATTTAGTTTTTGTCATATTAAGAAATTTAAAAAGTTACAAACTTCTAGAATAATGGGCAAAATTTAAGTTTAGTAAATTTAATTTTAAATGGCAAGCGCCTTAACATCTACACTTTGAATCATATTATAAAACACTTGTATTTCCAATTAATCACGTTTCTTTATTAAAATATGATCAGAAATAACAATTTTTTATTATCGGTAATCATTGTAAAATATAATTAATACAGAACTCATAATTATGATATTACACAATTCTTTCTAATTAAAAAATTAAAAGACCGTGTTAAATTACTCTGATTTAACCTTATTAAGACCAAACAAGCGTAATACAAATATCTGATACCCGGCCACCAAAACGCACATGATCTCAGCCATAATAAACACCGCTTGCCAACCATAAGCACCGGCAAACATACTCACAGGTAGACCATTGATAATATCGGCCCCTATAAAAACAACCATGATAAACAAAAACACAAATAAATCCCACCAAGTTAAACATACCTATGATGGTAAACTGTATGATAGATTGGCACAGGCCTGCGTTGCTCGGGTCCACTTCCATTATACACACCGACACCGATAGCATAGTACCAGCGGTGGCAGCGCCCACACCGATGGCTACCAGTGCCACAAACCAGGTGCTGGACTCTGTGCCCAATCCTACGCTAATTAAATGCATACACCAGGTTAGCAGTAGAGTTAGCCCGATCATCACAGGTAACCTAGCCTTAATCAGGTTATATGGTAGTTTATTTTGATTAGCTTTGTTTTTGGCCTTAACCACCAGATGGTCCAGCGCTTTGGCTGTGGCTATACGACCAAACACTGCGCCGAAATTCATCATGCTCGTAAACAAGGTTGACATGTATGGGTCCATGTTCAGTTCATTTGTAAAATATAGACCAACCCAAGCGCCCAAAATCATCGTGATCATAATACTTAAACTCTGGCTATTTACACACAGCCATAACATGGGATTTTTAACCAAGGCGGGCTTTATGCCTTGATCTTTGGCTACTGTTGCTTGATCATTTTTCTTCTTATTAACACGACCAGTTTTACGACCATGCCCAAGTTTTGTCAAGCAAATTAGCCCGATGGTCATGAGCGCACAAGCATAAACAACCATGTTCATTCGCCACGATTCAAATAACGTTGAGTTTAACACCGGGTTAATTATGCCAGCTGCGTTTATCGCGGTCATTATCACCGACATGCTGGTGGCCATTTGCCCTGGATCCGATACCAACATGGCCAGTTTGGGTATCATGCCAAATGAACAGGTCATGCCCAGGCCGTGTATGAACCAGGCGATGGCATAGTAGTTGTAAGTGCTAGATAAGGAGAATATTAGGCTAGATGTGCCTGATGCTATGATGCCCAGGGTGAATAGGTATTTAACAGGCAATTTGTCCGATAGTATGCCAGCAGGGAATGTCATTATAGCAGCAGCTATGCCATGAAGGCTTGATATTTTGCCTGGTGGTTTTGGGATTTTGTAATGATAATTAAAAGTAATTAATTCATTGTGTTAATATTATTTTAAGTTTTATTTACAAACTCTTGATAGTTTGTTTGCAAATGTAAATATTAATTATATTGTTTATTTAATTAGTTTATAAATAAATAATTAATGTTAATTTACCAATGTCCTGTTTGGTTAGGCCATCATTGATTAGTTGAGGTACAAAATAGAAAAAGTTTATTTTTTCAGAGATTATAAAGTATTGGGCAACAAATAGCAGCCAGACTAGCTTGTTCATTTTAACACTTATAATACAGAATCTCTATTTTTATTATTTAAAATTATATGTTAATTATAAATATTAATTTATATACGCGTACTACTATACTGTATTTATTAAAAATTTTATTTAACCTAAATGTCAAGTAAAAATTTTAAAATTGCTAAATCATTCAATGATAATAATAATATTTAATTGTTTTACTTATGCCATTAGTACACAAATAATTGTACAGTCATTTTAATTTTATATTATGGATTAACTTCACCTTGTTATGTTTATTGCATAAAATATATCCATACATTTATATCCACAGATATTAATGGGTTTACCATATAATTAAATAAATAAAATTATAAATTAATGCTGTACAAATCCTTGCTGAAAATACATTATTCAATGGCTACTTTGGATATCAGGCAAAGTGGCCAGGTCATAATGAGACAGTGTATGAACCAGGCAATAGCATTGATTGTGCTAATTAGAGAAAATAGTAGGCTATATATTTTGAATGATAGCCTATCATTGATAGGATGCTTAACGTAAATAAACAAGTTAAAGTAAACTACATAGTGGTTTGCAATGCATTGAAAAAGTAAAATTAAACTTTGCATTGAAAAAGTAAAATCAATATTTCATTGATTTTTAAAAATCAATTAATTTTGGGCTTAAAATCACATATCAGTAGCAATTCTGGGAATACATTGGTTTTACTATCAATAAAATGTAAAATAAAATGATAAG